TATAAGGTCACTGTGGCAAACACTATTTCTCTTCAAGGTTAAAAAAAAAAAAAGCTTTTCAGCATCTTAATGAATCTCTGAATCAGAAAAACAGTAAGTTTGGTCTAAAGTGAATACTCCGTATGTATACTAAGCTGCAAAAAAATTGTATTTTTTCATCAACAAATATTCCTCCTCTTCTCCTCCACCTCCTGGATTGTCCCACTGTTCCCACTCGCTCCCTTGGTGACCAGATCCAGGCTTTAGAGACCATCAGCTAAGGACTGCCAAATACATGCCGGCGGGCCAGACTTCTCTCCAGACCCGATTATTCAACTGCCTGCCGGACATTTCCTGTAAATGCCTAATAGACGCTCCACACCCAACACGCTCAAAACTGAACTCCTGGTCCGCCTTTCAAGACCTACTCTTCTCCAGCCTTTTCATCTCAGTTCATGGCACTTCCATCCTCCAGCTGCTTATGTGTATTGTGGAGTCACTCTTGACTCCCCCATTTCTCCCACGAGGTCTTCTGGGAAATTCCATTGGCTTTGGCTTTACCTTCAGAAAACAACTACGATTCTCTAGCCCTTTTTCTGGGGGCCAGAGGGGGGGGCGCGCCTGCACTGTGTGGCCTGTGGGATTTTAGTTCCCCGAACAGGGATCGAACCTGGCAGTGAAGCTCGGAGTCCTAACCACTGGACGGCCAGGGGATTCCTTCTTTAGACTTTCTTAACCTCAACTGCTACCACTCCCTGAGCAAGCCTCCATCGCCCTTGGCCTGGATGAACACCGCTAACCTCTGAAGTGGATTCCCCATCCACTCGTGCCTCCTTTAGTCTACACTCAAGCCAGCAAACAAATGGATTCTTTTTTATTTTTTTATTTTTGGCTTCGCTGGGTCTTCGTTGCTGCGCGCGGGCCTTCTCTAGTTGCGGCGAGGGGGGCTACTCTTCGTTGCGGTGCACGGGCTTCTCATCGCTATGGCTTCTCTTGTTGTGGAGCAGGGGCTCTAGGTGCGTGGGCCTCAGTAGTTGTGGCACACAGGCTCAGTAGTTGTGGTGCACGGGCTTAGTTGCTCCGCGGCTTGTGGGATCTTCCCGGACCAGGGCTCGAACCCGTATTCCCTGGATTGGCAGGAGGATTCTTAACCACTGCGCCACCAGGGAAGTCCACAAATGGATTCTTAAACCCTGCAATGGCTTCCCTGCTCACTCTGCTCTAGCCACACTGGCTGTCTCACGATTCCTTAACATGCTATGCACACTCTTGCCTTGGGGGCCCTGGGGGGCTTTTTCCTCTGCTTGGTCAGCTCTTTCCCCAGATCTTCCCATGGCCCACTCCGTCACCTCTTTCAAGTCTTTGCTGAAATGTCACCTCTCAAGGAGACTTATCTTGGCCACCACATTTTAAACTGCAAGCTAGTCAGCACACTCCCAACCCCCCTTATCTCGCTCTACTTCTTTTTCCTAGCACAATCACGGCATGATTTACTTATTCATGTTGATTGTTTATCTTATGTCTTCTTACAAGAATATAAACTCCATGAGTGAGGGATTTATGTTTTCTGATGTATCCCAAAGGCTACAACAGAGTGGCATATGTAGGCGCTCAAATACATATTCGAGGAGACAAAGAATTTTAACAAGGTCCCTCATATGTTGGAGTGTGCATAACAATCTTGCTGAAAGGCAGCAGTGCATCCTAAAAGATAAACATCAATACAATTAGCACATGTTGATAAGTACCAAAAGAAGATAACATTTTAGTATAGTACACAGGACAAATGAAAGCTCAGAGAAGTGCCAAAGAAGTTTAGAGTGGTAATTTTTAAATTTGGGGGGAAGGTGGTCACACCTCTTTGAAAATCTGATGAAAGCTACAGACTCCGATGATATAATGAACATGTACACAAAATTTTGAATACTATTACAAGAGGTTCAAACACTCCCTGATGCCAGCTATGAATCCTGAATGGAGAACCCTTGGTTTCAAGGATTGTTTTATCACCCAGGGCTTGGGAAAGGCTTGGTGAAGATGGGACTCAAACTAGTTCTTAAAGAATAGGCTATGAAGAGGAAACAAGAGGAAGGTCTTTTCAAGCAAGAGAAAGGGCTAAGGGTGATGGTAGAAGAGTCTGACTGGAATGGAGGATTCATGCAAAACGTAAGGACAGGCTGAGAATTGCTTGGTGTATGACTTAAATGACATGGATATTCAAAGTCTTTGAGAGTGTTTGGGCAAAAGAATGTAATGTCTAAAGCATTGTTTTAAGAAAATTAATTTGGTAGTTGTTTATAGGACGAAAGTTGAGAGAAAAAAGTGAAATTAAGGAAATACTCATGAAGCTATAATGATTCAACTTTGAAGATGTGGAAAGGGAACTGATAAGGTTTAGAGGCGGATGAATTTGAGGCACGAATCCATGTAGAAATGCCTGGTTTGAAACTGAAAATCAGAAATAAACTTTAGGTCAGGCCCAGTTATATAAATTTGGTGTTATTTATTGAATCTATGAGTGTGGGGGGGAAAATGACAAGAGAAAAAGTATTAAGAACAGAGATTATTCAGAGGCTTTGGACAGGACAAAGTGAACAGCCTATTATTACTGTGATCTCAATAAAATGTTAAATCTATGTAGAATAAAACCTTAAGAGAAGACTAAGGTATACAGGTATTATGGGTAATTGAAAGTTGGTAGTTAATTTGAGGGCTGCTAATATAATTTTTATGTTTTTGCGGTACGTGGGCCTCTCACTGTTGTGGCCTCTCCCGTTGCGGAGCACAGGCTCCGGACGCGCAGGCTCAGAGGCCATGGCTCACAGGCCCAGCCGCTCCGCAGCATGTGGGATCTTCCCGGACCGGGGCACGAACCCGTGTCCCCTGCATCGGCAGGCGGACTCTCAACCACTGCGCCACCAGGGAAGCCCTAATTTTTATGTTTTAATTTTTGCTTGCTGAGTTTTTTTTTTCCCTCCAAAATGTATTATTACGCTTTTTTCTCCTTGATAACTAGGGAACACAGCTGACTTATTTTTAGATGATTCAGGATGTCACTATTCCTCAAGGAGAGTATACACATTTCCAATGTAAAATAACATGGTTATAGGAAATTTGAATAAATCCATGGGACCGCAGAATACATCCTGGTCATTTTAAAAGGCTTCTGATATCTTTTTGACCTTTAGCAGAAGACAGATAACATCAAAACAACTGTAACACAAAATTTTAGGTGTTTTAGGTATCTATTCTTTTTTAAAAATTTACTTATGTATTAATTTTGGCTGCATTGGGTCTCCGTTGATGCGCGCTGGCTTTCTCTAGTTGCGGGCGGGGCTCCTTTTCGTTGCGGTCAGCGGTCTGGTTACTGCGGTGATTTCCTTGTTGCGGAGCACGGGCTCTAGGCGCGCGGGCTCAGTAGTTGTGGTGCACAGGCTTAACTGCTCTGTGGCATGTGGGATCCTCCCAGACCTGAGCTCGAATCCGTATCCCCTGCATTGGCAGGTGGATTCTTAACAACTGCGCCACCAGGGAAGCCCGTAGGTATCTATTCTTTAAGTAGGATTTACTCCACTGCTTTTTTGCCAGCATGTACAAAGGATACAGGATGTTACTGTCAAATGCATTATTACATCATTGGCACAGTTTCCACTATCATTACCTGCTTATGTATATAAGATGTTTAGGATTCAGACTCCTCTTTAGAACCTACCTCCCTCTACTTCTTTTGTGACCCTCCAGCTATGATTTGTACTTAGAGGGATAAATCATTCTTGGTGTAACAGATGTTGGCTCCCCACCACCCCCACCTGAAATTCTATCAGGATGTTTCTGTTACTTTAGAAACTTTCGTATTCTACTGCAACATGCCAAGAAACCCAGCTACAAAACGGTGATTGTTTAATCTGCAACACGTGTGCCGGCCTTAAATTTGTTTTTCTGCCTTACAATCTAGACCTAGTACAGTATATCCACACAACTATGCCTAGTGAACAATTCTGCAGATTCCACTTGAGCCTTAAAAAAAAAAAATCAACAGCCTCAAACTTTACTAAGAACTCTTCATAAACTGTTGAGCAAGAGAAGTGAACCATGCTTAGATTCAGCCTCTGGTTCCCAAAGCCATTTCCCGACCTGACCCGACCCTCCCTTCTCTAAACACCTGGTGGAGACAAACTTAAGAAACAGAAGCGCCAACACAACCTGCTTTCCTTAAAATTAGCCAGTGCTCACTACAGATAGGTAGGTATTCAGATATTTGACTTGCAAACACAGATGCTGTGTAATCTATACGCTCCTCTCCCCTCCACCCCACCTTAAAAAAAAACCAAAACAAAACAGGGTGAAGCGGCAAACTGAGGTCCTTCAGTACCTTCTCGGAAATTGACTCGGGGAGGTGCACAGGGGTTTCCTGACCCGGGCATCCAGACGACTGTGCGGGGTGGCCGAGGGGAGACCCCAGAACAGGGGGACCGGCCCTCTCCCGGACTCGGGGCTCCCCCGCACCCTCCTGCGGGTGTAACACTGGGGCTTGAGCGCTCGGTTCACGGCACCCCACGTGCTGACCCCGAATCTGCGTTGGCAGAGGCGGCTCTCTCCTCCGCTCCTCGGGGTCCCGGGACCTTTCAGGACAGGGCACGAGGCAGCCGAGGAGGCCGCTGCGAGCTCCCTTCAGCGGCGCCGACCGCAGCCCCGCTGCGACTTCCCCTTGCCGGCTCAGCCCGGCCGGGGCGGCGGAGTAGGCGGCACCACTAGGCAGCCCTCGGACCCCGGACAGCAACACCTGCGCCGCAGCGGGGTGGCTCGGAGGCCCCGCCCGCGGGAGGAGCCTGCGGACACCCTGCAGCGTGGAGTGCGCCAGGTGAGCACGCCTGCGCAGTCGGGCCGTAAACAAGCCCGCCCCTTCTCCTCGCTGGCCTCCGCGGGGCCGGCTCACGGGTGGGAGGGGCCAGGAGGAAGGGGCGGGGGGGAGGGCGAGAGCCCGGGACGGCGCCTGCGCGGTGGGCGTGATCCGGGCACTTAGGGCAGGATGAACGCTGCTTTCCAAGATGGCGACGGAGGGAGGAGGGAAGGAGATGAACGAGATTAAGACCCAATTCACCACCCGGGAAGGTCTGTACAAGCTGCTGCCGCACTCGGAGTACAGCCGGCCCAACCGGGTGCCCTTCAACTCGCAGGGATCCAACCCTGTCCGCGTCTCCTTCGTAAACCTCAACGACCAGTCTGGCAACGGCGACCGCCTCTGCTTCAATGTGGGCCGGGAGCTCTACTTCTATATCTACAAGGGGGTCCGCAAGGTACCGACCCGGGCGTCACCGGGGCTCGCCAGCGGCGTGAGCAGAGGCCAGGAGCAGGGCGGCGACAGCGGGGGCCAGGGTGACCGATGGGCTGGCCGTCGCTCTTACTTTTGAGTGGGCCGGTAACTCCACTGGAGTGCTCCTGAGGAAGGGGGATTCGGGAGTGAGGAGGGTGGTGGCGGTGGTGTTTCGGGGGGAGGGGGTGGAACGGGACCGCGGGGCGCGGGGCTGCGGCTGGGAGGCCCCAGAAAGGGCCGGCTGCCGCCCCTGAGGGTCCGTCAGGCTCTGACACGGCCCGGGAGCGGGCCTGCGAGTCCCCGGAAGAGGTGGGGTGGCCGTCTGGTCTGCTGAGACCGCCTCGCCTCCCAGGAGGGTGGAGAGTCTCGCTCTGGGTTAGAGACCAGGGGCGCGGGGCGGCTTGGGAAAATCTGTAAGGCGGAACCGGGTCTGGGCAGCAGAGGACTTGAGACTAGGTCAGAAAGGACCTGCTCGGCACGAAGGGCTACTCCACCTGCTGCCACACTGACACTTCCTAGGAGCCTCTCCTTCTGGTGTTAACACTTTGTTTCCAAAAACATCCGAGGGAGGACGGCTGTCACTGCCTCCTCGAAGGGAACCTTCTCCTGAGAGAATGTTAAAGAGGGTCCTTCTGTCCCTTATAGGTATGGGAAGGGTTGAGTACTACTACAGTTAAGAGGTCCAAACGATGTTTCCAGTGGACTGGGCTGGTTCATAGGGGTTGTGTGTGAGCGTGCCCAGATCAGTCTTGTCCAACAAGTCAGACTGTGTCACAAACAGGGAGGGATATGCCTTAAAAGCTGCTTCACAAGAACCATTATTCTGGGCGGGCGATTTAACAGGAATGCTGTCAAGCATGTAATCATCCTTTAAAAATATCTCTTTAAAAGAAGCAACTTATTAGAGCTGTTCTTTCATTGGCTACGTAACTTTGTTCTCATTGAGAACTGCTTACTTCTGAGATATGTGGTCTTTGAGTTGACTCTTGGAAGAGTGAGGGAATTAATGCCCTCCACAGTACCTGGGCGTGGGAGAAGGTGATAACAGATTAATTTATAAATAGTCAGTTAGTGTGAAAATAAATTGTGTATATTGAAGAGTGGACATTTTCCAGGATTTACTATATCCAGAAGCAGTAGGTTTTTGCTTGGTTACAGGAACTAGGGATGTGACGGTGGTATCTAAATGTAACAAGTTGTCTCATTTGTTCGAGGTGAGTCTTTTTGTTAGTGTTTATAAGTGTACTGCTGTGTTTGAGGTATCTTGACATAAATTACTGAAAGTAAATCTCTTGACTTCACTTTTTCGGAATTGGAAAAGTGTGAAGTAATTAGTAGTCTAGGAGCTGAAGTTTTAGTCCTATCCCCAACTTTGTCACTGACTTGTTCCGTGGCCTTGGAGGAGTTGCTTAACTTCTATCTGCAGCTCTTTAGAAAGAGAATATTGCGATGCACCTGTTGTGATTAATAGCATAATGACTGTAATGAACTTTAAAGCCCCGAAACACTCAGTAGATGTAAAATATAGTTAAAATAGTCATTAAGAGCATCTGTCAAACGGGAGCTGCTATCTTGACATTGATACAAGGACTGAAAGGATCAGCTTTTTCTCTGGTAACAAGTTTAAAATTTTAAGTTATTAAATGGATTTACATAAAAATTTAAAAGTGCATAAAAACTAAATATATTAACGATTACTAGTGTAGATGTTACCTTTTTAAACAAGTTTTCTTTTAAAGTATATTATTTCTGAAGCATTCTAGTGGCAAACCTTATCTGGATCTGGTAGCTCTGGTTTGCATCATAAAAACACGTCTCTTGCCTGGAAGGATCATAATAGTGTCCTCTTTTAGTGGGATACTATTGAATGAAGAATAAACTAGGAGAGCTTTTCAAAGCTACAGCAAAAAATTATTTTAAACAAGACAAATCTTAAACATGTAGATTTGCCTTCAGCTGCATAATTTACTTGAGCACATTAACTTTTTTGTAAAATTTCATGGTAGTATCTTGTAGATATATTTGCATTATATGGTGGACGTTTCAACTGTCTCCTAGCCACTGTAATTTTTTAAAAAATTCATTTTCCATGAATGAGTTTGCATTTATTTTTTGTTATTTTTGAATACAAGTGATTGTTTTTGTGACTTTTTTTCTGATTTTAAAACAGCAGATACTTTTCCTTAATCAAAAAGCCAAATTTTACTTTTTGGGGTTAGGAGTTATAAATCCGTTTTTGACATTTGGTCGTTTTGACTCTTTAAAATTTTTTTTTCTTTGGGGCATATAAAGTTTTACAACAATTAATCAGATTATTTAGAACATTCAGAAGGTTTAAATTGGATGAATACATTCAACTTAAATCTGCATGTGAAATGAGTGGAAACTAGGTCTTTTTATTCTTTTATTAAAGTATAGTTGATTTACAATATGATATTAGTTTCAGGTGTACAGCATGATGATTCAGTATTTTTACAGATTATACTCCATTAAATGTATAAGATAATGGCTATAATTCCCCATTTTATGCAATATATCCTTGTTGCTTATCTATCTTACACATAATAGTTTGTATCTCTTAATCCCAGATTTAGGAGGTAGTCTAGAATCTAAGCTAAGGAGTGTAATCTTCGTCCCTTTAAAACACTTACAGGTCAGTTTCTAGAGCTAGAAGGCACCTTCAGTTTATGGAGTCTCACCCTTCAGAGAAAGCCAAGGCTAGAGAGCGTGTGCAAACCTGTGATGCAGTTTCTTTCTCATGGTAAAGAATTCATGGTAAAGAAGCACAACTGAATCTAAAGAACTGTCTTAGAAGAGACTGATCTAGCTTTTTGGTTACACAGATAACCGTATACTCCAAGCACTTCAGAATTTACCCCAGTGTTTTACCCTATGTTATCTCATTGAATCTTGCAATCCTGTGAGGTAGATGAAAGCATCTTCTTTCCTTTTTCTTTTTTTTTTGAATTTTATTTTATTTATTTTTTTATACAGCAGGTTCTTATTAGTTATCCATTTTATACATATTAGTGTATATATGTCAATTCCAATCTCTCAATTCATCACGCATCTTCTTTTCAAAACTGAAGTTCGGAGTAGGGTTTCTTGTGTGAGGACATCCAGTTTTGTGAATTTGTTTTGCTGAGCTAAAAATAATATGAACATTGATTTAATATGGAGGTGAACTCAGCATTTCAGCAAAGATTTGAGTGACTACCAAGGGGATGTGGGGTAACCAAAGATGAGTGAGACACTGCCCCTCCTCCCAAAGAACTTTCAGCTACTAGCTTTCAGATCTCTTTATAGCATACTTTGCTTTCCTCTTTTTAAAAAAGAGATGGTTTTAGGATAAAGATGCCAAAGGTACTGGGCTTATTGTACCAACCCTTTCATTTTATGGAGATCTGTTTTTACGTAAATGCAAATGGCTACCATTCAGATCTAAGTTTAAACATCACTTCCTCAGCATGTCCTTCTTTGAATTCGCAGGCTAGATCAGTTTTCCCTGTTACACGTTTTTATAGCATCCTGTACTTTGCCTTTCTAGCACTTTTCTCAATTTGTAATTCTCTGTCTCTTCTGTAAACAAAGCTCCCTTAGAATAGGATGTCTTTTCTGCTTTCTCTGTCTTCCTAGTGCCCAGCACAGCATCCAGCATAGAGTAGACCCCTACTGTTAATTTGTTGAGTGAATGACTGGATAAAGCATCTCTGTCCATCTATGTCTTACTTTAAAAAGATCCTAAGGAGCTAAAAATCTGTTCAATTTTGGGCCCAAAAGTAACAGGTATTTTTAGTAGCTCACATCTTTTAAAAGACATTTTTATTTAATTAAAAAAAATTTTTTTTTGGCTGTGCTGCATGGCTTGTGGGATCTTAGTTCCCCAACCAGGGATTGAACCCAGGCCCCTGGCAGTGAAAGCACCAAGTCCTAACCACTGGACTGCCAGGGAATTCACAAAAGACATTTAAAATTATTGGTAACAAATTTAGCTTCTTATAACTGGGAAATTATGTAGCAAGAGACAGTGAAGTAGTGGAAAGTAGGCAAATGATGCGGATTACTTTTGATCTACTTCTGTCAAACCATGTTACCTACCAGATCTATGTACTGTCAAACAACTTTTCAAATTTAAAAAAATTGTTTTATTGAAGTATAGTTGATTTATAATGCATTCGTTTCTGGTGTACAGCAAAGTAATTCAGTTATACATATATATATACATATCCTTTTCATATTCTTTCCCATTATGGTTTATTACAGGATACTGAATACAGTGCCTTGTGCTATACAGTAGGACCTTGTTGTTTATCTATTGTATATATAGTAGTTTGTATCTGCTAATCCCAAGCTCCTAATTTAACCCTCCATGACCCCACCTTTTTTTTAATTGAATCAAGGAACTTTTTAAAGCTATACTCAGAATTACTTAACATTCAAATCAAAGAGCCTTTACTTTTTTCCCCCCATCTTGACATTCTAGGCCACAAATATACTGTCCAGAGATTGAAGCAATTCCTACAATAGATGAAAGGTAGAATTGGATGGTGTCCAGGGCCTTTTCAGCCCTTAAGGTTGTATAATTCTGTGCTCAGTAATTTTTAAATGAAAATGCATCTTTGTACTGGGGAGATGTCTTCATGTCTTGGATTCTTTGCCTACTTCTCTGAATGGGAATTGGGAAGAGTGAGGTGTGTTGTGAAAGCAAGTTGAACACATAGTGACTCTAGGTCTTTGTGCTAGAAAAAGCTCGGGTACTCACCAGGCTGAGATGAAGCTGGGGCCAGAAGTCAGTCAAGAATAACAGCTAAAGGGCCTTCCCTGGCGGTCCAGTGGAAGCAGACTCCGCGCTTCCACTGCAGGGGGTGCGGGTTCAATCCCTGGTCCGGAAACTAAGATCCCACATGCCGCGAGATGCGGCCAAGAAGTAAAAAAAAAAAAAAAAAAAAAAAAATAGCAGCTAGAATATTTTTAGAGCTGGAG